TTAAATGGAGTGATTACTCACTTACAGCAAATAATCTAGATAAGCTGGTTGAATCAATAGGTGAGAATGAAACATTGAATTTGAAAAGGATAGACCTGAGTAGTATTAACTTATCTTCGATCAGTGGGAGAACATTAGCTTGCCTTTGTAAGATCTCTACACACCTGATCCATATTGACATGAGACATTGTAGCTTATCAGGTAGTATTATTATTAAAATGATAGAGGAATGTTGTAGGATGAATGTAGCATTGAAAAAAATCATGCTTAGTTTGGAAGGTAATAATATTTCAGATATTGATGGTAAATCACTTGCTAATTTAGTCAGTGTAATTAGTCACCCTGATGATCCCTTTAGAGAGAATAATTACTCTTACCGCTTTAGAGTGAGAAATGACATTGATCCACTTAGATTGAGAGATTTTTCTGATCCACAACCTGATATTACGTTTAAATGGAGGGATTACTCACTTACAGCAAATAATCTAGAAAAGCTGGTTGAATCAATAGGTGAGAATGAAACATTGAATTTGAAAAGGATAGACCTGAGTAGTATTAACTTATCTTCGATTAGTGGGAGAACATTAGCTTGCCTTTGTAAGGTCTCTACACACCTGACTATTATTGACATGAGTCATTGTAGTCTATCAGGTAATATTATTAATGAAATGATGGATGAACATTGTAAAATGCATGAAACTCATGTTAGGTGTAAATTAACCAAACTTGATACAAGTAACAATAACTTAGTTTCAATCAATGGGAGAACATTAGCTTGCCTTTGTAAGGTGTTTACTCACCTGACCCATATTGACATGAGTCATTGTAATTTATCAGGTAATATTATTAATGAAATGATGGAGGAATGTCGTAGGATGAATGTAGCATTGAAATACAACATGCTTTGTTTGGAAGGTAATAATCTTTCAGATATTTATGGTAAATCACTTGCTAAGTTAGTCAGTGTAATTAGTCACCCTGATGAACCCTTTAGAGAGAATAATTACTCTTACCGCTTAAGAGTGAGAAATGACATTGATCCCCTTAGATTGAGAAATTATTCTGATCCTCAGCCTGATATTACGTTTAAATGGAGTGATTATTCGCTAACAGCAAATAATTTAGAAAAACTTGTTGAATCAGTAGGTGAGAATGAAACATTGAATTGGAATAGGATAGACATGAGTGGGATTAACCTATCTTCAATCAGTGGAAGAACATTAGCTTGCCTTTGTAAGATTTCTACACACCTAATCCATGTTGACATGAGTCATTGTACTTTATCAGGTAGTATTATTAATGAAATGATGGGGGAATGTTGTAGGATGAATGTAGCGTTGAAAGACAACATGCTTAGTTTGGTGGGTAATGACCTTTCAGATTTTGATGATAAATTTTCTACTGAGTTAATCAGGATAATGTTTCAGATTGAGTAATTATTTGCTTACAAACAGTGATGATAATAAATGCTTAGTCTTGAGGGCAGTGACCTTTTATAGATAATTAATTACTAGTTAATTTCAGGGGCGGATCCAGGGTGCACCAGGGAATTGGGCCCACCACCTCTCCCCCCCCCCAAAAAAAAAAAGTAAGAAAAAAAAAGAAGAGAAAGAGTGAAGTATGTATTCTAAAATAAGCTACTTTTCAATTACTTTTGTGCTAATTGTATTGGCACTCTTGTCATTGTATTGAAAGAAATAAACCAAAAATTGGTATTTGTTTAATCAACTTTGAAGTTGTTGAAGTTTAGTTTTATCATTTTTGTGTTTGGGACTCTTTTTCCATGAAAAAAAGGGGACATACAGTATATCTTTCAACACTGTTGCCAACCCCTATTAAGGGGATTGGACACTTTCTGAATGTGCCAAATGGTCAAATAACCTTTATACACACTTAATTATCCCTATAGACACTTTTTTTTTCATTTATCACAACTACAGCAGTCTGAAATAAGAAAAAATCCTTCAACTTTATATTTGACAGCGTTTGAGCAATAAAACAGAATTTTCTTCTCTGAAACCTTAAGAGTGAATATCAGTATCCGGGCCTACTGCATGTGTTTACTTCCTATATAAACCAATCCTTTTCACTTTTGACCCTTACTTAACCATGGGAATTTTTTTTTCTTAGTTTTTGTGTACTTTCATATAGGGTTTTAATCCATACCATAACATGCTCTATTCATGCTACATCCATCCAATAGAAAGCTCAATATTAAAAAAAGTATATTTTGTCATTAACATTGCATCATTAAACAATATGGGGAACATATATAAGTATTGTTGTGAATTTACAAAACAACTAATAAACATTAAAGAAATCACAACACTACAGATAATGCTCATGTCAGGCGTGTATGCCTGAGTTTTATTCAGCCATAATCATTGCTATGCTCAATGAAACAACCAAACATGTTTCAGCTGGGTCTACTGCCATCATCAGTGTGGAGACTGCCCACAGACAGTCTTATTTATGAGAGAATTTGTGAAACGTAGCACTAGATGCGATTCAAACCATAATAACCAATAAGAAAAAAGAATTGAATCAAAATTGACATGGTATAGTTGGTTTTTAAGTGAGAGCTGTTTCTATTGTATGTGTAATGCCTCCTTGATTTTCAGTTGGTATTTGAAGGGGCAGAGTCAAGTATTTGGAAACAGCCTACATTTGGTAGAACTATTGAGTGTTTATATTGTGAGAGGTGCTATCCACTGCCAAGTGCTCGCACATGCATGTTTCGAAATGTTGACTGGTTTCTCCGATATATAAGAGCTTTACAGCCTGTACACTTAGATTTATACACCACACACGCAGGGATACTGGCAGGAGCAGAGTCATTAACATTTAACATATTTTTAATTTTAAATGAAGAGAATACTAGCCTAAATTCAGAATATTTACAAAATTGCTTAGAGAGCTATCTAATCTTACAGGAAACAATATTGGAATAATTACCTAAATATGACCGTTTTAAGAAAAATAGTGTGGGTGTTGCTTCTACATTACCTCCTTCGACTTCTTTGTACAAGGAGTAAAAATGGAGAATAGATATTTGAAAATTAATTTACCAATCATATGGAGAGGAAAAAAATTTTTATTATGAATGGTGACTAATGTAGTGATATGTTGTGAAAACCAGCCCAACTATTGTTAATATTGTAGGTCCCAATTTTATAACAAAATGGACAAAAACTGAAGAAATTCAAAAGTAACCCAGCAAACATATTTTTGCGGAAGACAGAGGTCGAAGTCAACCCCTGCTCCGAGTTAAAAACTAGAACATCAAGAATGGGGAGTGCTTGTTTAGCTTTTTTTCTAAGTAAATTTGATATTGGGATGACGAGAATTACGATAATCACAAAAAATAAAGAGGCATCATCCTCATAGTAAAAAAAAGCAAAACATACATCAACGTAACGTCTATTAAAGAACCTTCGGACCTTGATATTGCTGAAGCCATACATTTCCATGGTGGCCTATAAAAATATTAGCCAGTACAGGGGCAGGTCGAGACTCCATGGAGACATCATCAATTGAATCAAAAATTGATCTGATCTATAAAATTAACAATAGTTATGGTTATGGCTAATTAAAACACAGGCATACATGCCTGACATAAGCATCATTTGTAGTGTCGTAATTACTTAAACATTTATAAATGAATTGTATTTTGCATTGCAAATTATTGCTATGACTAAGTTCTAAATTCTACTGTAACTGATTCTTATGTCAATAAAAATAAAATTATAAAGAATGTATGTCATCATTATATGTATATGCTAAAAACCCCTATTAAGGGGAAAATTTCATATTTTTGGTTAGTGTCGCTTGAATAGGGGTACTGTACCTACCCCTATTCTGGGGACACATTTTTGGTCCCGAAGGTTTCCCCTTTGTAGGGATTCTACTGTAGTTAAATTATGTAAGATTCATTAATAACTGCTAAGCAATATGATTAAATGTATTTAATGCTATAGATAAAGCAAGTACAAATTACCATAAGCTATATAATAGTAGCCTGCCATTTTCTTTTAATGTACCACCTTGTGCTGGAAATCATAAATCAGATTTTTTTTTCCTGATGGATTCCACAGACAATACAGTTGATCGGACATGGTCTGTGGACTTTCAATTTACAAAGCAACTTTATACTTAATTAAGATAAGTCCAAAACATGCAAACATATAAGATCTTATTACAATATTTATACTTTGTTGATTATTATTTAAATACCAATCACAACTAAGTAAATAACGAGTATAATGTGGTATGAAATATATTGTTTTTTATTAAATACATTTAGTTCTTAATTTTGAAATTTGTTGGTATTTTTTTTTCCTTAAATAATCATTGTGATGACCCATAATAGAAAGAAATATTCATATGGATTCATTAATGTTGTTTAATGTCTAAATTAAACACTTTTTTATTCAATAAAACGCAGCCATATTGCTGTAAAAATGTAAGTATATATAAAACTAGAGGGGAGCAGACAGCAACTTTCTGATATGAGCTTATGAGTTAAACTATTGGTAATTTAAATTACCTAATGTGGTATATTTAAAAACTACAGTATGTGAACTACAGTATGTTTTTTTATTAGCTATTCCTATAATCTTATATTCATATTCCCTTATGCATCAGTGGCGGCTCCAGGATATATTTTCTGGGGGTGAAGGGCTGAGCTGTTTGGCAGGGGGACTTGAGCTCATAGGCCAGAGTCCAACTGCACAGTTGACTGTAATTTGTACATTTCCCTTTTGTATTTTAATGTTGTAATGAGTACTCATACTCTTTTATTGAATTATCTGGTATATTTTAAACATTTCAATATTACTTAAAATTTGTTTGTACATTTCAATTAAAGTAACTTTTATCTTTGTGTATCTACCAATTATAACAAGTATAATAAAGTTAATCTGTTATCGTAGATGCAACCAATTTGTCAACATTCTCCTATTTACTTATTAATTGTCTGTAATGTTAACATGGTTATTCCACCTACCACTTCAACAATTTCCGAGGGGACGAAGTACTAGAAGGGCTACACCCACCTCTGTCCTATTACGGTTGGAGCTGAACGTGAAGATAGCACTCTTTATACTTAAAAACGTGTTTTAATTTGACAGTATTGCTGACGTTCAGTTTTAAATACATCAAATAGGAGAAAAGTGCAAATACAAGTCTACACTGATTTCAGCCCCAAAAACAAATCAATGATGTAGCAACACAAATTTTTGTAAATATTTATTCTAAAATTTGTCAGTATGTCGTTCATATTTAAATTAGATCAAATACATTTTTGTGTTTTTTGAGGGAAAAATAGGGAGGGATGAATACAGGCCTGTCACCTCAGCCTAGGGGTGGCGCCAGGATTTGACCAACAGTGGGGGGGGGGCTCTGATGTCGCCAAAGAGAGCAAAGTGGGAGTGCTCGGGCGTTTCACAAAAGCTTTCAAAATTTGTCTTGGGGAGACGCCCCCAAAATGATAATTTGATTTTTCAAAGACTTTATTTAATCGATTTTAGAGTCTTCATATAATACATAAATTTGTTTTTCTCCCGTGCGAATTGTTTTTTCTCCCTACCTGGGTCCAGGTCTTCTTGGCCAGCGTGGGGGGGGGGGGGGGGGGGCTGGTGCTGCTACTGCCTCAGATACACAAAAAAAATTTAAGGATGGGAACAGCCTTTTAATTGCTGGAAATAGAATTCTCAGACTTCAAATATTACATGGTTGAGCGAGGCTGGACTGAGAGATAAAATCTGGGATACATCACTGTTAGACGTAAAATATATTTGTGTCTTAATTTTTGCTTTTTAGCTTGTTAACAATTTTAGGTAGGTAAATACCTTTTGGTGAAATTGTGAAATAAGTAGAGGGGTAATTACCAGCCAAGAGTCTCAGCAACCATCTCAGCATGCACCAAGGTTGGACTGAGTGTACAATAAAGATCTAGCTACTGTAGATTCGTCTGGAAATTGCCAAGGGTCTAATACTTTAAAAGTATTTTAATACAAAACATTTTTTTTTTAATTATTAAAAAAATGCTAGAATCTTTTAGGAAAAATTTAATGAAATTCTGGAATTTTTGAGCTTTTCTTTTGAAAGTGGTATACTAATTTTTGTGCAAAAAGCAACCCTTGGGTCCAAATATGCGAATGTACTTGCAGGATTATACGAGATTATCCCGGCCAATCTTCTTGAGGATTGGAATATGGTTTATCTAAATACAGCAGATATTCATGAAATATGTACCTGGGTACTGTAGGCCTAGATATTCACGAAATAGATTAAAACATCCCTGGAATACCATTAGAGAGCATATGACTATACACAATAAAAACTCACCTCGGACATCCCGGATATTTCCTTATCTCGGAAAGGATTGCTTATGAAGGAAAAAAAAAAGTCAGTGGGCAGTGCAGGCGCGGATCCAGCGGGTGGGGTGGGGAGCGGGGCATGAGAGCCCGTCCCCCCACCCCCGGTCAGTCAAGACGAAAAATAAAAAAGAGGGTGACAAATTTGAGTTAAAGAGAGGAAGAGCTAAAAAGGGAGTGCACCAATGAGTTCAGTGGCGATACAGCAGTGTACGAAAGGAGAGCTCGATTATTTACCACTTATTGGTGGGGCTGAGGTGGGCATGGCGGCGTGAACTGCATATTGTGTCCCCCCCCCCGTCAGAAAATCTCTGGATCCGCCCCTGCAGTGATCATAATATGCTACTTCTTAAACTAAATATACAACATTTCAGATATAAAATTGATCAATGCTGTAAAAAAAATGTTTGGAATATTTGGAGAAAATACTGTATAAATCTCGATTAGAGAAGGGTTTTATGGACTGGGATACTAATATTTTTAATACTGCTGATGGTTTGTGGAATTCATGGAAAAATATTGTTATCAAATCTGCTGAAGGTATTGGTAAAAAATATATATTAGAAGAGAGAATAAACCATGGTTTGATAAAGAAGCTGCTACTGCAATTGATAATAGGTAAAAAGCAGCACAAAATATATAGAAAATATATTAAGAGAAATTCGTTTTTCAATTTTTACTTTGATTTCTACAGGGGGCGGGGGAAACTTAATAGGAGAATGCCATCTCCTCCTTGGCTCGTTGCTCCCATGGTCTAAGGAAAATATTGAAGGTTATAATGGCTACCGGAATTGCATATACAGTACTACTATAACCAATGATCACTACTATAATATATACTGTACTGCATTCGTTGTTGGATTTGCTTTGTAAGCAACAGGTCTCCGGTTGGAATCTAGGTGGAGGTTGAGATTCTGTGAAAGGAAAAAAAAAATGCGTGGTAAGTATATTATCATTATCATTAATAATAATTATTGTTACCATCATCAATATTATTCTATTTATTATTCTGTATTTCCAATCATTTACTTTCTTGTTTCTTGAGTTATCTTCACAGCCGACAACAAAGAATTATTTTAAATAGTAGCTACATCATCTCCTTGGTTCCTGTGAACTAATTTTTAATTTACCACGTTAACGAAATTCCATTACATTTTAAATTATCTCTTTGATATGGATGTCGTATGCCGAAGACCTTGAAATTTACAAGAATTTAGACGGGTGACTCAATTATTCTTCAGGATGACCTTCACTAATGACTGGTCCCAGAAATGGGATCATAACCCCGGAAATAATGGTAGCGGTAGCGTCGGGGAGAAACAGCACATCGTCAGGGAAAAAGGAAAATTATATGTAGGCCCCTAGGCCCTATTATTTTTATTATCTTTATTCTAAAATCTATTAAATAAGCCTTTGAAATCCCTAAATTGTCATCGTTTTCGGGACCCCCGGACTCGTCGGGTACATCGTCGGACATCGGACCCCCAGTCGGGCAAATCCTGGCGCCACCCCTCTGTCTGCAAAGTGTAAATAATTAATGTTAAGAAAACGATTTATTTTTTA